ACTAAACTGCATCAGTAAGCTTTCAATCAGTAAGTCTTGATTTACCTGACAACAATAGGTTTATATTATAATGTTGACAAGTACAATGCTTACATTTACATTTTAAAAGAACATTATGTGAATAAATTACTTTGTTAGCTGTCTTTAAAGCGAATCTGACCTAAACAGTTCTCATCTGCTTGCATAGCAAAATCAATAATAATAATAATAATAATAATATCTAATCATCACAAACAGCTTTTCAACAAACTGAGGAGGGAAATACTTATACATTATTAACATTACTTATACTTATTAACATCAAATTTGAAATATCATGCAGGGAATTCTGGGAATGTCAATTTACGTTTTTTCACTGTAAACTGTACAATGACTTGTTCTTTTACACTTCCAAAAAATGTCATTTTAACAATTTTAATTAAATGTAATTACAGTTATTCACTGTATATAATATGGAAACTTACTGTTAACCAATTAACAGGTTTTTACTGTAGCACTTTTACAGTCTTTTCCTGTTAAGATCACAATCCTTTTTTACAGAGTGGGAAAGAGAGAATCTGACTGTAGATGACTGGAGCAAAGCTCCTGCAGAACCACCTGAAACTAGAGAAGAGTTCTTAAAACATCTGTATGATCTGTCAAAGTGCAAATACTCTGCAGTGTGTTCTGGTGAGTTTAGACCTTTTCTCTTATCAACATCTGAGCGCAGGAATAAAAACAAAGGTGTCATTTCATCAAGTAGCCACTTTGAGGATCCCTATACCATATACCCTCAAAAGGCACTCACTCCCAAGTGTACACCCACAAATTATTAAGTTATTGTATATATTTTTATTAAGAAGTTATTATAAGAACTAACCCAGGTGAAAAAAGTGCACTTCCATAGTGTACTTAAAGTGCTCTGTTTTCACACTCTAATTGTTTACTTAATATACAAAAAAATTATTATTTACTATTTACTAATATCTGTTTTGATCCATTGCAATACAGCAAAGACTATAGAAAGGGACTTTGAATACAGTGACAACCACCAAAAACAGGTGATGATTATAAAGTCCCATCAAATCATCACAAACAGCTTTTCAACAAACTGAGGAGGGAAATACTTATACATTATTAACATTACTTATACTTATTAACATCAAATTTGAAATATCATGCAGGGAATTCTGGGAATGTCAATTTACGTTTTTTCACTGTAAACTGTACAATGACTTGTTCTTTTACACTTCCAAAAAATGTCATTTTAACAATTTTAATTAAATGTAATTACAGTTATTCACTGTATATAATATGGAAACTTACTGTTAACCAATTAACAGGTTTTTACTGTAGCACTTTTACAGTCTTTTCCTGTTAAGATCACAATCCTTTTTTACAGAGTGGGAAAGAGACAATCTGACTGTAGATGACTGGAGCAAAGCTCCTGCAAAACCGCCTGAAATTAGAGACCGGTTCTTAAAACATCTATATGATCTGTCAAAGTGCAAATATTTTGCAAATTGTTCTGGTGAGTTTAGTGCTTTTCTCTTATCAACATCTGAGCTCAGGAATAAAAACAAAGGTGTCATTTCATCAAGTAGCCACTTTGAGTATCCCTATACCCTCAAAAGGCACACACTCCCAAGTGTACTTAAGTGTAATTAGACACACACACACACACACACATAATGATTTTGTGTGATTTTAGAGTTTCACGTACTCCAGAGAATAGTTGGCTGTAAAGTGGTGAAACTTCCTAATGGAACAGTGACGAATCTGAAGGCTTTTGATGAGTATGCATACGATGGAATAGATCCCCTTACCTTTCATTACAAACACCCGCTTCAGTGGATGGATAAAGACATAGAAACCAAAATGGATCATCAAACTGGACGAAACCCATTCCTCATGGATTTCCTCAACAACTGCACTAAGTGGATCTTCACATTTAACAACACATATAAGAGTAAGTTCTGATCGCAATTAACTCATGTGTGTTTGTGTTTTTGACTCTTTCTAATTCTGTCTTGGTACAGAGGTTGTTTATCATCATTATGACACTTTAAGCCATGTTTAAATATTCTAACCTGTATGACTTTTACTGTAAAAAAATAATCCACCTCAATTTAAAAACTTAATTTGCTGCCTTAAATTTTTAAGTATAACCAAATTATCTGTACGACTCATTTCTCGACTTGTTTTTAAAATGTAAAGGCATCTACTTCAATCTCATATACTGTACCTTAAACAATGACGTTGAAATTGGTTAAATTATTTTGATGAGTTGAAGTATTGAAAAAAAAAAAAAACATGTTGCCATGAGTTATATATCATATTTTTTTACAGTGTTCTTTCTGGGACACAAAATGTGATGATCACAATCTGAGCTGTCTGGCCACTGGTTTCTACCCCAGAGATATTGAGATGAACATCAGATTGATCAGATTGAACCACCCACAAATTATTAAGTTATTGTATATATTTTTATTAAGAAGTTATTATAAGAACTAACCCAGGTGAAAAAAGTGCACTTCCATAGTGTACTTAAAGTGCTCTGTTTTCACACTCTAATTGTTTACTTAATATACAAAAAAATTATTATTTACTATTTACTAATATCTGTTTTGATCCATTGCAATACAGCAAAGACTATAGAAAGGGACTTTGAATACAGTGACAACCACCAAAAACAGGTGATGATTATAAAGTCCCATCAAATCATCACAAACAGCTTTTCAACAAACTGAGGAGGGAAATACTTATACATTATTAACATTACTTATACTTATTAACATCAAATTTGAAATATCATGCAGGGAATTCTGGGAATGTCAATTTACGTTTTTTCACTGTAAACTGTACAATGACTTGTTCTTTTACACTTCCAAAAAATGTCATTTTAACAATTTTAATTAAATGTAATTACAGTTATTCACTGTATATAATATGGAAACTTACTGTTAACCAATTAACAGGTTTTTACTGTAGCACTTTTACAGTCTTTTCCTGTTAAGATCACAATCCTTTTTTACAGAGTGGGAAAGAGAGAATCTGACTGTAGATGACTGGAGCAAAGCTCCTGCAGAACCACCTGAAACTAGAGAAGAGTTCTTAAAACATCTGTATGATCTGTCAAAGTGCAAATACTCTGCAGTGTGTTCTGGTGAGTTTAGACCTTTTCTCTTATCAACATCTGAGCGCAGGAATAAAAACAAAGGTGTCATTTCATCAAGTAGCCACTTTGAGGATCCCTATACCATATACCCTCAAAAGGCACTCACTCCCAAGTGTACACCCACAAATTATTAAGTTATTGTATATATTTTTATTAAGAAGTTATTATAAGAACTAACCCAGGTGAAAAAAGTGCACTTCCATAGTGTACTTAAAGTGCTCTGTTTTCACACTCTAATTGTTTACTTAATATACAAAAAAATTATTATTTACTATTTACTAATATCTGTTTTGATCCATTGCAATACAGCAAAGACTATAGAAAGGGACTTTGAATACAGTGACAACCACCAAAAACAGGTGATGATTATAAAGTCCCATCAAATCATCACAAACAGCTTTTCAACAAACTGAGGAGGGAAATACTTATACATTATTAACATTACTTATACTTATTAACATCAAATTTGAAATATCATGCAGGGAATTCTGGGAATGTCAATTTACGTTTTTTCACTGTAAACTGTACAATGACTTGTTCTTTTACACTTCCAAAAAATGTCATTTTAACAATTTTAATTAAATGTAATTACAGTTATTCACTGTATATAATATGGAAACTTACTGTTAACCAATTAACAGGTTTTTACTGTAGCACTTTTACAGTCTTTTCCTGTTAAGATCACAATCCTTTTTTACAGAGTGGGAAAGAGAGAATCTGACTGTAGATGACTGGAGCAAAGCTCCTGCAGAACCACCTGAAACTAGAGAAGAGTTCTTAAAACATCTGTATGATCTGTCAAAGTGCAAATACTCTGCAGTGTGTTCTGGTGAGTTTAGACCTTTTCTCTTATCAACATCTGAGCGCAGGAATAAAAACAAAGGTGTCATTTCATCAAGTAGCCACTTTGAGGATCCCTATACCATATACCCTCAAAAGGCACTCACTCCCAAGTGTACACCCACAAATTATTAAGTTATTGTATATATTTTTATTAAGAAGTTATTATAAGAACTAACCCAGGTGAAAAAAGTGCACTTCCATAGTGTACTTAAAGTGCTCTGTTTTCACACTCTAATTGTTTACTTAATATACAAAAAAATTATTATTTACTATTTACTAATATCTGTTTTGATCCATTGCAATACAGCAAAGACTATAGAAAGGGACTTTGAATACAGTGACAACCACCAAAAACAGGTGATGATTATAAAGTCCCATCAAATCATCACAAACAGCTTTTCAACAAACTGAGGAGGGAAATACTTATACATTATTAACATTACTTATACTTATTAACATCAAATTTGAAATATCATGCAGGGAATTCTGGGAATGTCAATTTACGTTTTTTCACTGTAAACTGTACAATGACTTGTTCTTTTACACTTCCAAAAAATGTCATTTTAACAATTTTAATTAAATGTAATTACAGTTATTCACTGTATATAATATGGAAACTTACTGTTAACCAATTAACAGGTTTTTACTGTAGCACTTTTACAGTCTTTTCCTGTTAAGATCACAATCCTTTTTTACAGAGTGGGAAAGAGAGAATCTGACTGTAGATGACTGGAGCAAAGCTCCTGCAGAACCACCTGAAACTAGAGAAGAGTTCTTAAAACATCTGTATGATCTGTCAAAGTGCAAATACTCTGCAGTGTGTTCTGGTGAGTTTAGACCTTTTCTCTTATCAACATCTGAGCGCAGGAATAAAAACAAAGGTGTCATTTCATCAAGTAGCCACTTTGAGGATCCCTATACCATATACCCTCAAAAGGCACTCACTCCCAAGTGTACACCCACAAATTATTAAGTTATTGTATATATTTTTATTAAGAAGTTATTATAAGAACTAACCCAGGTGAAAAAAGTGCACTTCCATAGTGTACTTAAAGTGCTCTGTTTTCACACTCTAATTGTTTACTTAATATACAAAAAAATTATTATTTACTATTTACTAATATCTGTTTTGATCCATTGCAATACAGCAAAGACTATAGAAAGGGACTTTGAATACAGTGACAACCACCAAAAACAGGTGATGATTATAAAGTCCCATCAAATCATCACAAACAGCTTTTCAACAAACTGAGGAGGGAAATACTTATACATTATTAACATTACTTATACTTATTAACATCAAATTTGAAATATCATGCAGGGAATTCTGGGAATGTCAATTTACGTTTTTTCACTGTAAACTGTACAATGACTTGTTCTTTTACACTTCCAAAAAATGTCATTTTAACAATTTTAATTAAATGTAATTACAGTTATTCACTGTATATAATATGGAAACTTACTGTTAACCAATTAACAGGTTTTTACTGTAGCACTTTTACAGTCTTTTCCTGTTAAGATCACAATCCTTTTTTACAGAGTGGGAAAGAGAGAATCTGACTGTAGATGACTGGAGCAAAGCTCCTGCAGAACCACCTGAAACTAGAGAAGAGTTCTTAAAACATCTGTATGATCTGTCAAAGTGCAAATACTCTGCAGTGTGTTCTGGTGAGTTTAGACCTTTTCTCTTATCAACATCTGAGCGCAGGAATAAAAACAAAGGTGTCATTTCATCAAGTAGCCACTTTGAGGATCCCTATACCATATACCCTCAAAAGGCACTCACTCCCAAGTGTACACCCACAAATTATTAAGTTATTGTATATATTTTTATTAAGAAGTTATTATAAGAACTAACCCAGGTGAAAAAAGTGCACTTCCATAGTGTACTTAAAGTGCTCTGTTTTCACACTCTAATTGTTTACTTAATATACAAAAAAATTATTATTTACTATTTACTAATATCTGTTTTGATCCATTGCAATACAGCAAAGACTATAGAAAGGGACTTTGAATACAGTGACAACCACCAAAAACAGGTGATGATTATAAAGTCCCATCAAATCATCACAAACAGCTTTTCAACAAACTGAGGAGGGAAATACTTATACATTATTAACATTACTTATACTTATTAACATCAAATTTGAAATATCATGCAGGGAATTCTGGGAATGTCAATTTACGTTTTTTCACTGTAAACTGTACAATGACTTGTTCTTTTACACTTCCAAAAAATGTCATTTTAACAATTTTAATTAAATGTAATTACAGTTATTCACTGTATATAATATGGAAACTTACTGTTAACCAATTAACAGGTTTTTACTGTAGCACTTTTACAGTCTTTTCCTGTTAAGATCACAATCCTTTTTTACAGAGTGGGAAAGAGACAATCTGACTGTAGATGACTGGAGCAAAGCTCCTGCAAAACCGCCTGAAATTAGAGACCGGTTCTTAAAACATCTATATGATCTGTCAAAGTGCAAATATTTTGCAAATTGTTCTGGTGAGTTTAGTGCTTTTCTCTTATCAACATCTGAGCTCAGGAATAAAAACAAAGGTGTCATTTCATCAAGTAGCCACTTTGAGTATCCCTATACCCTCAAAAGGCACACACTCCCAAGTGTACTTAAGTGTAATTAGACACACACACACACACACACATAATGATTTTGTGTGATTTTAGAGTTTCACGTACTCCAGAGAATAGTTGGCTGTAAAGTGGTGAAACTTCCTAATGGAACAGTGACGAATCTGAAGGCTTTTGATGAGTATGCATACGATGGAATAGATCTCCTTACCTTTCATTACAACCACCCGCTTCAGTGGATGGATAAAGACATAGAAACCAAAATGGATCATCAAACTGGACGAAACCCATTCCTCATGGATTTCCTCAACAACTGCACTAAGTGGATCTCCACATTTAACAACACATATAAGAGTAAGTTCTGATCGCAATTAGCTCATGTGTGTTTGTGTTTTTGACTGTTTCTAATTCTGTCTTGGTACAGAGGTTGTTTATCATCATTATGACACTTTAAGCCATGTTTAAGTATTCTAACCTGTATGACTTTTACTGTAAAAAAATAATCCACCTCAACTTAAAAACTTAATTTGCTGCCTTAATTTTTTAAGTATAACCAAATTATCTGTACGACTCATTTCTCGACTTGTTTTTAAAATGTAAAGGCATCTACTTCAATCTCATATACTGTACCTTAAACAATGACATTGAAATTGGTTAAATTATTTTGATGAGTTGAAGTATTGAAAAAAAAAAAACATGTTGCCATGACTTATATATCATATTTTTTTACAGTGTTCTTTCTGGGACACAAAATGTGATTTTGTTTTAAGGAAAGTAAGAATGCAACTTGTTGACAGCGCAGAAAGCAATTACAGAAAGTTTAATGTTTGTTGTTAATTGCATTATTATTTTCTGCTCCAGCTCCACCAGATGTTCATGTCTTTGCAAGAAAAGCTCCTGATGATCACAGTAAGCTGAATCTGAGCTGTCTGGCCACTGGTTTCTACCCCAGAGATATTGAGATGAACATCAGATTGAACAGAATTAACACTGAAAACCAAACGTCATCTGAAATCAGACCAAATGATGATGAAACCTTTCAGATGAGAACCAGTGTGAAGATTGACAGAAACCACAAAGGATCTTATAGCTGTTTTGTCATTCACAGCAGTCTGACAGAACCAGTTTCAGTAGAATGGGGTAAATATCACCAGAAATACAGTCACTCACATATTTGTAACATGATAACATGATAATGCTGTAATAGATGAATGTTTCTGGCCCCAGGCAATTTCATTTAAATTGCCTTAACGCATTTCAGTAGTTTCTAATGTTTATTTAAAAAAAACATTTATTATGTATTATTTTAATTTTAATTTTGCAGATGGAAAATGTTCTAACTGTGATCCAGACCCTCCACGGTCTGCTGCAGCAAGAGTATTAGTAGCGGCATTTCTAGTTTTTCTTATTGTGATTGGTTGCTGCATCTACAAAAGGAGAAGATCAAGTGGTGAGTTATAAATATTTAGCATGATCATTGTTGCATTAAACCTCTAAATCTGGATTTTTATCATTATAGGGTGGTTTTGTACACACACTGCTAACACACATTTCAGTTCAAACAACTTGTAAAAGTGCATGTAGCATCCTATGACCCCTTTAAGACATTTTAATATGTATGAAGAAGGAATGGACAGATTAACAGTGTACACTGTATGACAGTAAAAAATGTGAACAAGAGATTTTGGTGATGATTTTCATTTTTTGAGTTTTATTTGATGGACACAGACTACAAGGTAAGATTATAACAATTGAATGAGAAGTGTGACATCAGTGCAGCTTGACATTAACATATTTATGAGAACAGTGATATCTGTATGTGTTAGAGATGAAGTTTTGAGAATATGATATTATCATTTCCACACACAGGTATCTCCACATCACATTCAATGTCTGTCTTTGTGCAAAGAAGAAGAGAGTAGGAAAAATCAAATCCAAATTCAATCCAAACGGCAGGTACATTTATTGTTGTGTGTTTTGATCAACGGCTCAGTAGTGATGGACTGGGAAGTGAACAGGTTCATGAGCACTGATTAGAAATTATATATATTTTTTATTGTGGTGCATTCTGGAGAGAAATACTATTCTTCAATTCCAGCTCCATTCTGCAAGAAGGTTTTGTTTTTCACTTTAATCAGAATATTGCATGAAATACTTTGTTTATTATCTTTCTTTATGCTAAGTTGAAATGTTTTTTTTTTTTCACATTTGAGACCATTTCAAACATTTCAAAGAATGAAAAATACAAACAATGTGTAACTTGAAATCTAGTTCTCTATTCTCTGGCAAAATGACATGGTCATGAAATGCTGTATAACCAACCAAACTGATTACTGTACAACTGAATTTATTAAGTTGATTTTTCAAAGCAAATGATGAAGAAATGTATACTTAACCACTTGTGGTCACCGAGCTGTATTCACAGTTATCGTAGTCTATCTTGTGTTCTTTGTTGTGTTCTTAAGGTGAAGTGTGCAATTTTCTTTTTTTGCACCACTTCAGAAATAATGACTTCCAAGTCTTTTTTCCTGAGCTCTCCTCTTTTCTGTCATTGGTTGGATAGATACCCGTAGTCCCGCCCCCAAACTCATGCCATTGGTTGAGTCAGACGTTGACTCAAACAGATCAATGTCTGCTACAAAGTCAAACTACCAGAAGTGAACAGGTTCATGAGCACTGATTAGAAATTATATATATTTTTTATTGTGGTGCATTCTGGAGAGAAATACTATTCTTCAATTCCAGCTCCATTCTGCAAGAAGGTTTTGTTTTTCACTTTAATCAGAATATTGCATGAAATACTTTGTTTATTATCTTTCTTTATGCTAAGTTGAAATGTTTTTTTTTTTTCACATTTGAGACCATTTCAAACATTTCAAAGAATGAAAAATACAAACAATGTGTAACTTGAAATCTAGTTCTCTATTCTCTGGGAAAATGACACGGTCATGAAATGCTGTATAACCAACCAAACTGATTACTGTACAACTGAATTTATTAAGTTGATTTTTCAAAGCAAATGATGAAGAAATGTATACTTAACCACTTGTGGTCACCGAGCTGTATTCACAGTTATCGTAGTCTATCTTGTGTTCTTTGTTGTGTTCTTAAGGTGAAGTGTGCAATTTTCTTTTTTTGCACCACTTCAGAAATAATGACTTCCAAGTCTTTTTACAGACTCAGCTGATCTTAACTGGAATTACAGACACTGAAATCATTTGTAACTACTAATTATAATCCACTTTTCATATAAAAATCATATGTGTCATATAAAAAAAAAATGCAGCAGAAGAAAATACATAAATATTTCTGGAATATTTCTACTGCAAATGTTACCGTGAAACCTGCATTTTATTTATTACAAAATACACAAATTTTTCAGAGTAAATTAAGAAAATGATATATCATATTTTGCAGACTTGCTGCCTTGCAGGATTCCAAATACAGAAACAAAATATTTTATTTATCTTATGTAATGGGAAAAACAAATAGAGAATTAAGCACACATGTTGATTATCACAGTACTAACCTAAAATGTGATGTATGGCCATGACATACACCTGTTACCAGGTACAATTATATTTTACGATAAATTCCATCAAGATTGAAAATCCACATAAGATCATACAAATGTTTTCTTATAGAGAGCCATTTGACAGAGTGAAGCTGGGCAGCATTTGTAATAGTGTTTCAGTAATAACTGTTTTAGTGATTCAGCGTTTCAAGCTTCACAGCAGCCATGATTAAGGCTGAATTTATGTGGTGTATCTATAGCCTAGGATTTAATATATCTATATGTATGCTGCTGAAATTAAGGTCCTTCTTTTCAAATGATGTTTTTAAATCCTATCTGGAGACTTATTTATTTTTATCTTGAGTTTGTGAACAGTTTGTCTTTGGTTTTGGCAGCTAATTTGTCTTTGTGTGTGTCTTTATTCATTGTAATTTGTAATTTAGGATGTTGCATTGATTATCTGTTTCTCTCTAATGTTCCTGTAGCAGTTAATCATGATCACAGTGTTATCAATGCCATTGTCATGGATTTAATTCCCAGAGAAAACATGTATTGATCAAATTTACAAGCTTGAATGCATTGTACAAGTCTCTTTGATAAGTTTCTGACAAATGCATAAATGTGCCTGTTTGGACAATGTGTTGTGTTCAGTGTGCAATATAAGAAATAAATGTCTTAAGTGTGAGTTTATGTATGGAGCAACATGATATACATGGTAAAGATCTTCACGATTTCCAACTTTAATGAATGCACTGAAAACATCTATAAACAAAAAGGCAATCTAATGTACAATTAATCACAGAAAAAAATCATCACAAACAAGATAAGTTACAAAGTGCTACGTTTTGTACTCTGTATTGTTGTTTATGTACTTAAAGGGTTAGTTCACCCAAAAATGAGAATTCTGTCATTAATTACTCACCCTCATGTCTTCCAAATCCGCAAGACCTTCGTTCATCTTCGAAACACAAATGAATATATTTTTGATTAAATCCGAGAGCTCTCGGACCCTCTCATAGACAGCAGCGATACAAGTTGGATGTTCTGTTGTCAAACGCTGATAAAGTGCAGCATCAGAGCAGAAGAAGCACAGAGTGGAAGGAGGTTTGGAAGAGAAGCAGCGGGGTTCAGAGTCATTTAAATATCAATACTGATGGAAACCTGATCACTAAAGAGTTTACGGCAAGTGATGCAGGAAAATACAGAGTTCTGGACTTTGAAAGAAACATCTTGATCACAGTGACAGTCAAAGGTGAAGCTCAGTGGA